AAATTGATAAAAAAAAATAAGATTTCAAAACTACGAAACGTATATCTATATCAATCAAGAAAGGTTATGCTTAAATAAATTTATTTGCATAATATAACTTGCAATATATTCCGAAACCTTTTTGTGTAGAAGAGAAATTGAATAATTAATAAAATTCTAGCTTTTAAATGAATTAAGTTTACATTTGAAGGATAACAGATTTTCGTAAAAATTATCATGACAATTGGTATTTTTATTAGCGAGAGAAATAATTATTTCTTTACTGTAATATAAACAATTAACTTTGCTTTATTACAAAAAGAATTATTATTTAAATATTCCATTTTATTCCCCTGGTTGTTATGTTGACGGATTGTTTCAAAAGAAATGAAAAAACAAATATCAAATCTTATAAGTTCGATGCCAATTGTTGACTCTACCAGATTCTGGAATTCACTGAATCTGGGTGCGTAGGTTTTCATTCTATTTTAATGGTAATGTGTTTATTTAATGATTCATTTTAGTAGAACAATTGATAATAAAAGTTCATTTGTATGTACAAATTAAAATTTGGGGAAATGTTATTGTAAAAATTAAATATACACGTTAAAGTTATATTTATAAAAATTAAGATAACGATTAAAGCATTTTATCACTCAATGTATTTTTAAACTTATAAATAATGTAAGACATTCTCTAAAACTAAATTGTAGAGCTTATGAAAGTGACAAAAATGATATAAATTTTAAACATGACAAATATTTTAAACTTTTAGAAAAAAATTACCGATCGAACAAAAGAAAAAAAACATTAAAATAGTACGAAAATTACTAATAATACTAAAATTCAACTAAAAAAAGTTATTTTACTTAATTTATTGAATTTAATGAAAATTGATGCATATGATATAAATATTCTATACAGAGGATACAGAAAAGGTAAAAAAAGAAATTTGTAAAAGGAATTTGCATGTTATTTATTGCAACTAAAACAAACACTACCAGATTGAGCTAATTTAAACAACAAAAAAAAATCTTATCAAAGTTAGTTGATCAGTTTGGGAAATTTTTATACTATAGAGTTAGCATTAACTATAGTTGCGTTAACACACCAAATATCCCTTTTACGCTGCAATGGCCCGCTTGTTAAATATTATATAACCAATTTATAATTTATTACGAGACATAAATAGTTGAAATATTTCGTTCCAAGTTCACAATATAGGCAGTAAAGAAACAATGAAGGTACTTTTGATGACACAGATGGTACGTCTGATGGACTGATTTTCCATCACTGATAGACTGAAAATTTCAAATGTTTCTAGAATATTTTTGATTTAAAAATTTCGGGATAAAAAAGTAAATGAAAGGTTTTAGCATGTATATTTCTTGTCAAAAAGTACATAAAACGTTTTTACACTTTTTTTCTTTTTTTTGTTAGGTACGGAAATACTTATAAATTTGTGATTGTTAAAACTATAGGGATCAGCATGAAATAAATAATTTATATAATATAAAAAGGTTTTGGATGATTATTAAATTAATCTGTAATAAATGAATATTAAAATTTTTATATTTCATTTTAATATTCTTCTGGTATACGAGCTTTATAAATGCAACGGAGAAGATAGAGCGAAAAGTATTGATAGAATTTAGTTGGTCAAACTTTTAACTTCGAATACATTATTGGAAACCTAATTTTACAGTTCGTGACTATATGGCATATTTTTAAAGGTTAAAAATCGTAATTCATTCGTAAGACTTTATTTAGTCGAAAAGTTTAAGCTTTTTGTTCGATTTAATATTTTTATTATTGGTAAGCATTAATAATTGACTCACTAACTCTTAGTATTACTAATTGACTAGCACTAAATAACATTTTCTATGTGTGCCCGTTATATTTACAAACCTGCAAACTATTGAGATGGTACTCTTGCATTTTAATCAAAAGTTTTGCAGCTTATGCTTTACAAACAATGATAATTTTAAGCGATCGAAAATTTACTAATAGACTTCAAAAAACAAAAAATTCTGTCTAGAGCCCAATATGCTTTATTATTTACCTCCAAAAAAATTTACAAATATTGTAAATTAAATGCTTTTGAGATATTTTGAAATAAATTGTATTTTTTTAAAAAGTTGTTAATATTTCTAAATCATTACGAAACGCTTTTAAAATATGGAAAATTCTTTTTATTGATTAGTAATTTTATTAACTTTCAAATGTATTCACAATTTGTTTCAAATTTTAATGAAATTTCAAAAACTTATTAGACTTTAAAATTTAAATACAGATAATTATTTTAGTAGATTATGATCAAAAATTCATGAATAGAAAGACATAGTCCATAATATTTTTTTCGTTAAATTTAATAAATTTTTAAAAGCACTTTAACTTAAATCATGTATAAAAAATTTCCCTTAATCGAATATCATAGATTTATAAAACTCAATTTTTAGACTAAATCTGAAAATTCTGAGTTAACTTTGTGTAATCTATAAAATATATTATTAAACAGTTTGAAATAGAAGTAAAAGCCATTAACTATACTAATGTTTAAAAATCAGAAAAACAAAATTCACACGATATAACTTAACCTATTTATATTTTTTTGATTTTAAAGGGAAGCTTAAAACGTGTAATTAAAAATTGGAAGCAAAAAAAAGAAGGTTTCAAGCACGATTTAAAGTCTACAAATTATTGTGTTTAGAAGATTTAAGTCTAAAAATTATTGTGTTTTTATCGTTAAATAATACCAAAAAAAATCTTTACTATATTTTTAAAAAAAAATTTAAAATTTGATGCATATTTCCTATTGTTTATTTCTTACAGATTAAATTCTTTTTTGCCTCGCATAAATTATCACAAGGAAAGCGAAAGCATGTTCTCAAACTCTTGAATGGATTCTAATTAATGTTCTAAAAGCATTTAAAACTGTTTCATATCTCGAGGTGAAAAGTACGGTTTCAATTTATCCTGATTATCATGAAGAACGCTTCATTTATTTTATAAAGAAAGAAAATTTAGACTTTTTTTGTAAGTTATTAAATAATATTTCTCTTCACATAAAGATTACATTAATGAAAACATTCAACAAGAGCATTAATGAGTTATTGAGTACAAAAGTTAAATTTTTCTACTCCTTGCAGATTCAAACTTTTTTTAAAAAGAAGTTAAAAAATCTCTCATTTGTAATAAAATTGACATAAAGGAAAATGTGAGAGAAAGATATAAAACTTACATTTTGATTGGTTTCCAATTAAGCATTTTGTGGAAAATAAATTAAAAAGTAATAAATGTGATTTTTTAATCATTTTTTAATGAGTTATTGAGTACAAAAGTAACATTTTTCTACTCCTTACAGATTATAGCTTTTCTTAAAACGAAGTTAAAAAATCTCTCATTTGTAATGAAATTGACCCAAAGGAAAATGTGAAAGAAAGATATAAAACTTACATTTTGATTGATTTCCAACTAAACATTTTGTGGAAAATAAATTAAAAAGTAATAAATGTGATTTTTTTAATCATTTTCTAATGAGAGTACGAACGTAACATTTTTCTACTCCTTACAGATTATAGCTTTTCTTAAAACGAAGTTAAAAAATCTCTCATTTGTAATGAAATTGACCCAAAGGAAAATGTGAAAGAAAGATATAAAACTTACATTTTGATTGATTTCCAACTAAGCATTTTGTGGAAAATAATTTAAAAAGTAATAAATGTGATTTTTTTAATAATTTTTTCAAAGTTAAAATTCCGTTCTAGAAAAAAAAAATTGTTTTAGATTTTTTTTTCATCATTTAAATGATATTTTCTTTGAAAATGTGTACTTTTACAATGTGTTTAATAAACAATAATTCTTATGCGGCAAATAAATAAAGTAAACTTTAATATTTAGTTTAACTATTGAATTAAACTCTTGTTTAGAAGTGGCTTTAGATAAGTAATTTTAGACAACTATAATAAAACAAATTCAAGGTAGTTTAACACCCCTGTGATTATTCTAACATTTAAAGGTAGTTAGAGGAAATATATTTTCATTGGTACCATAGTTACGAATATTTCAAAACAATAACAAAGATTAATAATTCGATGTTTTTATTTTTAAAGTTTAATTCACAGATTGAGGAATATCAAAAGTGCGGAATGGTTGAAAATTGTATGAACTATTTCTTTATTGTTTAATTTCAGTAATTATAGATTTTATAACTTTTAATACGTTCGTCTGTTCGTCGGAAGTTTTTGGATAAAACATGTAAAATCTTTGAACAAATTCAAATGACTGTTTACTAATGTTGGCTATTGTGTATACTATAAAAATCTAGTTATTGCGTGATGATTTTTTATTAAAAAATTTAGGAATTTTTTATCATTAACAATTTTATTTTTAGATAAATTAAAAAGCTTATATTTTTTACTTGAATATTTAATAGTTATTCTTCTTCATTAACTTTCATTTTAAGCTTAGGAATTAAGGAATTAGGAATTGCCCATGGATAATTTGCTTCAAAGACGTCTTTGTTTCGTTTCAAATTGAATTCTATTGTAATATCATCATGTATTTAATATTTGAGCGCTAAAGATAAATATTTCAGCTTTATAGTTATTGAATTTTATTTCATACTTTGTATATTTTACAAGTTTCGGTTTTACAATGAAACATTTTCTGAACTTTTTATAGCATGTATTTCCTTGAAATTATCTTTATCTTTGAAGAAATTATCAATAGTTTAGTAGTATCGATAATTACTTAGCAGATACTTCTCTAAAGACCGGCAAAGTGCAGAGGCGTTTATTGATGCACTACTGCCGAGTCTAGTTTCATGAATGAAAAGTATTTATGGATGATGAAGAAAATTCCGAGAAAAAGTATCGAGAATTGTCAAAAAAATTTTAAGCTGCAAAGAGTAGACGTTCCCTTTTCGATTTCAGTTCACCGAAATACGCACCCCACTCTTATGACGTCACTTTTAAAAAGCCAATCAGGAGTTGAAGAGCAAAACTCCGGGAAGAGGATATAAACCTGTAGTACAGACTTCTCTGTGAATTATCCGGACGATTTTCTGGGATCCTTTTCGCTCAAACTAAAAAATTTTTGCTTTTAAAACGATGAAATCAGCGGTTCTATTTTGGTTCCTTTGTGGAATATGGGCCATTGTAAGTATTTTTTTATTACATGTAACATTGAAAAACTACATTGATTAATATATTGCAAAATAATGATCGTAATGTTTGTTTTAGTTTTATTAAAAAAATTTCAACTTTGTGTAAATGATAAATGCAATTTTGAATCACTAATAGCAAGCACCTATAATTAATTTTTTTTATTTCAATTTAATGCGTGTATAACGCTCCAAATAAAATCAAAATAGATTTTAAAAAAATTTAATTTAAACCAGATATATTATTTGATTTTGTATGCAAGTTGAAAACAACGCTAAAAGTGATGATAAAGTTTAAGTATCAACAAACTTAAGATTGTTTGTTTGCTACAAAATTGATATCGTCAGTTTAATTTCTTGCATTTGATTATAAATTTAAATTTCATGTATAAGAACATAATACTTACTTAAAAATATTTACATTTTAGAGCTTATTTATGTATCATTCATTAATTTTTGTTTTAAGTTTTTTGTTTACTTAAAAGTTTAAAGTTTAAGCAAATGACTTTGCAAATTCTTCCACAAAATATAGAAAGTTTTATTTTGTCAATGTACTTTTAGAAAAGATGCATGATGTAAAAATTGTAAGCCTGCAAAGTGTTTACAGTAACATTTAAATATCGTCCCTTAAAAACACATTTTTATCGTCCACATATTTCTTTCTTTTATTGCCTTTCTTATATTACCTTTCTTAAACACTTGTATGTAATCATCGAGATAATAAGAATGATCACAAACTATGGTATAATTTTGTTTTAATCAGTTTTAAATTGGAAAAATCATAATAATGAATCACTCGTGAAATTTAGAGGGTTAAATATTGAATATCTGGTACACTCTGAAAACAAGTATGGTCAAAACTACCAGAATATGGTAAAATTTACCGTGCTTCTGGTTCAATGGGAGCACCAAAAAGCTTGGTAATTTTTACAGAAGCATTTTGATAATGATTTTGGTAAAATTATCAATAAAATATGTTTTTTTATTCTGTGACAAAATGTGGTAAATGTGGTAAAAATTGTTTTTTTTTAGCATACCACCTTAGAGCATGGCATCAAAACCATTTATTCGGATAAATTTATATTTCAGTTGGGTTTTTTTTCTAAATGAGTGGTAATAAGAGCTATAATTTTGAAAACAAATAAGAACTATTGCTTAAGAATTTCCGGTAAGCAGTTACCATATGATCTTAATTACCAAATGAATGGTTTAAATACCGTACATTTTGGTTTCAAAAACCAAAAATACAGTTTTTCCCCCAAAAAATTATCATTTCCATGCAGTACGGTAATTTTACTAGAATCTCTGTGTACTAACAGTTCTACATGAAATGTTTAATTAATTTAAAAGGTAGGACTTGAATAAATTATATAATTAAATTGTTTGAAGTGTTAGTTAAAATTATAGCCCTATGTTAAAAATACATGACACATAGAAGCATTAAATAATGAAGCATTAGTTGAAGTTAAAGTTTTAGCTTTGTCCATTTCTCTATAATTATTATTAATGGGAAAGTGAAGAAAATTTGAAACTTATTTTTTATGAAGAAGAGATAAATACACTGTGTCGAGGGGAAATTTCTGAGCTTGCTTATTAAATAGCATTTGTTTTCAAAGTGTTGACAATGTGTTTACGTACAAAAAATACTTTTCAGATCAAAAGTAAAATAAATTTTAAAAAGTTTTCCTTCAAAACTTTAAATTTCTTCTTGAAACATATATTATTCTACATTCTATACGCTTTACATTACTTTGTATATGGAATACATTTCTTAAAGAATTTTTCTAACTCTTAGTGAAATTTTTTAAAAATATTTTCAAATTATTTTCCTTAGACTATGAAGTGTTATTTAACATCACAGAAATACTCTTGAATCTCTAAATGATATTTGTAAGAGTTGTAAATCAAGAAGTTTTTTTCTTAAAAAATAAAGCCAAAATTTTAATATCTCATTCACTCTTAATAAAACAAGTAATACAGATGATACCGTCGTTGAACAGCCGACCAGAATTTTGTGTTTACAACTGCTAATATTCAATCTCGTAACCTTGAAGTTTTGAACCCAATCCAGAGGACAAGGGAACTCCTGGATCAAGTATTGGGAAAAATTTGCCTTCGTGGAGGACTTTTTGATGGAAGTAACTCGAACTAGCGTTACATGAAGAGGAACACCACGAAATACTCCCACGGTTAGTCTGACTGCAAAGGGATTATAACCCATGATCCTTCTACCATTGAGGATATTTCACGTCAGCACTGTGGTCGGTGCAATCCGAGTGCGGAATTCGAATCGGCTAGCTATCGCTCTGATCGAACCCAGTTCACCTCATTGGAAGGCGAGCGCTCTATCTGAGCCAACGCGGCACCCCATTGCATTATTGACTTAAAAATTAGCGTTAACAATCAAAACTTTTAGCATTACGCTAATCTCTACGATTGATTGATTGATGTTTAGTTTACTGGCACTATAGCTGGATGGGGTGGCTATACTATAGTTACTGTCCTGTAAAAAAAATCAAAAGGTCAAAAATTGAGCTTGACGCAAGCAAAAATAGGAGGGAAATACAAGTTAAACACAAAAGTCATAGATTCTTTCTTTACTTAAAGAAAATATGAGCCCACTGAGGGGAACTTTAATTTCAAATTTTATATTTTAAATTTCTAACCACAAAAGTTTGAATAGAACCATATTAAATATCTGTGAATTCGCACACAGTGACAAATATCGTTTACCTTTGATGTAGAAACAAAATTTCTGAAATTTATATAATAATTTTTAATGGTTAATTTAGTAATGAGCAATGATTTTACTATATACGGTGCAGTAATTCTGATAAAATTACTGTATTCTATGGTACTAACATTTCTGGTAAAACAAACTGTAGTTCTGGCTAATAAAAACTGAACTATACACTATTCAAATCATTTATTTAGTAATTTTTCATTCACATGGTAACGGTTTACCTGAAATTCTGGTTTTCAAAATTATAGTTCTTATTACCACACCTTTAGTAAAAAACACAAAACTGAATTGCAAATTTAAACGAATAAATGACTTTTATGCCGAGTTTCTAAGGTATCATGATAAAATTGCCGAAATTTATTACATTTAATGAATTTTATCACATATTACAAAACAATATTTTATCGTTATTTTTCAAAATCTTTACCAAAGCCCTTTGGTAAAAATTATTGAGCCGATTAATCTTGATACACGATAAATTTTAACATAATCTGATTGTTTTTACCTCAGTATTTAATCAGTGTATGGTGTAATGCTTTGTCTTGATAAATTAAATAGTAGAGATTTTTAAAAAAACTGAGATCCCGTAGGGGAGCATAATAATAATTCTAAAAAGCAATAAAAAGTAATTTCCAAAAAAATATTCACTCACTTTTTTGAGCATTTGGATTTTGAAATAAGAAATTGCTATATAATGCAAAAATTTATTTATTCACTTTCAAATTCAACAGCAAAAAATAATTATTGAAAATTTTTTAGGTTTAATGATTTTCAAAAACTTATAATTCTCACAATAAAGGAAAATTCGTGATATTTTCGATTCAGAAACCATTGAATGGTAAGGAAATAAAAATTTAAAAAAAATCCTTAAAAAAATTAAATGATTTACTAATATTTTGACTAAACTAATGGAGACCAAATTTTGCAGTTTTACAAATTACTTCGTCATCCTTTCTTTCGAAGCTCTCAATTTGAAAGAGTGAAAAAAAGTTTATGCCTTTAGATTGATTATTTTTTAATTCCGTATACAAAATTATGTTAATCTTATTAAAGAATCATTCGTTTTTAATTACAATCAAAAATGCGTTACTGAAGACAATGCAAAATAAAGAAAAAATTTTTGAGACGAAAAAAAGAAAAGTGGTTTCTTAAAAACATCCGCCTCAAAACTTTTACTTCTTTATAACTACAGTGAAAAAGGGAATACCTACCTTTCGTCTGCTTAATTAATGATATTAAAAGAAGATTCGTTTATAATTTATAATTTAAATTGTAAGCAGTTATTTATTTTTTATTTCGTAGGATTGAATCCTCAACACTTTTAAATCAAATGCATTGAAAAAATAGACATATCTAATTAAAAACCACATTTAAGGAACTTATGACTCTTTAAAAATGGATTTAGAAAAATAGAAAGAAATATATGTTTTCCATTTTCTCATTCATTTTAAAGCGAAAAAAAATTATTAGAAATTTAAGCAACTTTGTAGTTAATCTTTAAATATCTAAAAATATGCTAAGTTTGCTTTTAGTTAAGAAATTTTGTCTTATGTCTTTGAAAATAAAGAAAAAAATATTGTTTCATGTTGTGGATCATATGAGTTATCAAAAAATGGAACCATTTTTTTAATTATTATATGGTTGTACAAATGTAATCCTATAAATTGAGAACAAGATATTTACAAGATCAATCAAGAAAGAAGTATTTAAAAATTACACATAATATATTAATATTATTAAAAAATCTTAAAAATTACTAATAAATGATTTAAATCATATTACAGAATAATTAAATCAATAACAGTTTTTTTTAGCATTTCTAAGAAAATTTAAAATAATTCATTTTTTACGGGAGTCTCTTTATTAAAGTACACTTTTGTATTTCCGCGCTCCCAGTTTGGATCCCGGTGGTAAAAAAAATACAGCTACGAAAATAAAATCTTGGTGACCCTTATTACACCGTACAGAAAAAATAATAAAATTAGAAATAGAGAAAATAATCATTTAGAAAATACAATACATAAAGTAAACTAAACATAAAAGGACCTTCTAAGACTGGATTTAAAGAGGTTTATAAGCAGCACAACTTGAAATTACGAATCTGGTGGCTAAAGTTATAAAACATACAATTTGAAGATGAAATTAAATGTAGGTAAAGTTTTATAAACTTACCTTTAAAACATTCCTAGTATCGAAATAAAATAGTCAAAACTTCTCGAAAACAAGGAACGTTAAGCATGAGTATAATCAAT